AGTGAGTGATCATGTCACAGACTTCTAAGTGGATTCAGATCTGTGATTTGACAGGGCCATTCTAAGTATTAAATATGCGTTGATCTAGATTATCCTTTTGTAACTCTGGCTGTAAATTTAGGGTTATTTTATTTTTAGAAGGGGAACCTCTGCACTAAACTCAAGCTTTTACGACTGCTTAAAATGTATATATTTTTTAATTGTACTAAATTTCCATTTTCTGACCAATTTCCATCTTTGCTAAAAATTCCAATAGCATGATTCTACCATTACCATGCTTCACCATGGGGTTGGTGCTGTATATACAGTGTGATATTCACCTGAGAACAGGAGTTGTTCCACATTTGGTATGTTCCCATGCGTTTTGTGGTAGCATTAAACCTGATTTAAATTCCTTTTGATAAAGCTTTTCTTTTTTTCACTTTTTCACAAATCACCACGCCCAGCTATTACTGTGTACATGTATTGCCATCAGATTATCCCACCTCAGCTCTGCATATCTGCATCTCTTCTAAAGTTTCCTAGCTACAGTACATAAGAGTTTAGGCAATGTCTTAACAGGTTTGCAATCAATATATTAATTTTACACGATATATTGAACAAGCATTCTCCTCCTTTCATTTTGCATTTGTCCACTACTTTGCATTGGTTTGTCACATGCAATTTAAATAAAATATATTAAAGATAGTTGTGATTATACAAAATGTGGAAAGAGATATAAGTTTGTGTTGTTGCCATCTGAGAAATCGTGTCTCCCACCTGTTCAGACAAGATACCTGAATTCACTCAAGCCAGATCTCAATACTTGTTGCACACAAACCTTTTTTCTGCACCAAATTGACCTTTAAGGATCCAAGAATGCTCCATTTCATGGGAAAACATACTCCATTTTAAATACATGTACACCTATATCAGCCTCATGCTGGTTTAAATTAGTTCTGGTGTGCAGTAGGAGCAGGGACAAGGTTCCCTCATCTCCTGATCAGTATTTGATACAATTGCTTTTATGATCTCAGTTTTTTTATATTTATTTGATTAATTATGTGATTTATGTTTGTGTCTTAGTGTGCCTAATAACTCTGCCAAACAAAATAAATTTTAAGTCAAAAGCGAAAAGGTTGTTCGTCGTTCTTTTTCCACAGTTTCTTGTACAGGCATGATCCTGGAATTTCTGAATATCACAAAATGTTTGACCTCATAAAGATCATAATCTTATTTCTCATATAATAGGTTAGGTCTTCATGCATGCCAAAATGTACCTGCCGTTTTCTTGTTCACACCCTCTGAGAAGGCAGAAGATCAGCATGCAAGGAGGTGGTGCCAAGTGTCTTTCAATCTACTTATATCAGCAAGCTGCTGGTGAGCAGAGATGCGCTACCAACTTGCCATTTCTTTGACCCTGAGAGAAAGATCCAAAGGAGCCATGCCAATTCCAACAGATGTTCCTCAAGTGCAGGCATCTTGTAAACACCATGAAATGGTTTTGAGGTTAATGTACTGGTTACTAACAGAGATCTTTGACACTAAATTTGATTACACCATCTGCTGCTCACACATCGCAGAGTAGAATTTATAAAAACTTAATTACTGGGTTCTCAGCGTGGCACGTGACTCATACGAAGGAGGAAAAGTAAAGTTAATTACTCCACGCATTTAGCCTGGTTTCCTTACAAAAAAATTATTTTTAACCAATCTGTTTGTATGATCTAATCAAATTGTCTTTGTAAAGTGCCTTGAGGTGATGTGCTGTGAATTGGCGCTGTATAAATAAACTGAATTGAATGGCAAAACTGAATTATAACATAGAAGGAGCTATATTTTATAAAGGCTTGATGGTATATTTTATATGATGTTTAAATAGAAATATAAAATACTTCTAACAATTTAAATAGTAGGATACCATCTTGACAAAACATCAAAAGTGAAACTTACAGCAGGATATGTTTCAAGCATCTAGTGTCTAATCTTAATGTAGACTATTATGGGCCGCCATTACTGAAAATGTTATTACATTTGACATATTACATAGAACTTGATAGTTTATCTTAGCTTATCTTACACATTACTTCATCACTGTAGTCTGGCATGGAGAGGTTAAACTTGTGGTTCTGCTGAACTGTTATTGAAGTCCTGGTTTCTTCCACTCTGCATTGTTGGTTCTATTAATTCTCCCATCTTCTTCCAGAGCAGGGGTCTTCAACAGGGGCTCCACGACCCCTAGGGGGTCCACAGAGGTACTGCTTGGGGGTTGCGAAAGTTTTGGTTGATTAGACTTTTTTTTTATATACCCCCCTGCAATTTTTACCACTAAGTAAAATGTCTTTAAAAACACATTAACATGAATTCAACACACTGTAGTAAACAGATAAATGGAGGCAGAAGATGTCTTTCAGACATCAATGCACACATTCAGCGACACACAGGAGCTCTTTCAAGCTGGGCACCGTTTCATTCACAACACCTGTCCCACCAACCAGGAATCAGAATCAGAAATACTTTAATAATCCCAGGGAGAAATTACTTTCTTTAGTTACATTACTCCAAAAGTAATAATGTGACAATAGGACCAGTTATATAAAACAATTTCATACAATATATATAATTAGGGGGTCCCCGCTCCATCTCCCCATCAGTTTGGGGGTCCTTAGCCTGGCAAACTTTGAAGACCCCTGTTCTAGAGAGTAATCAAGGTTTTGGGTATAGGTCCGGTGAGCTGACTGAACAATCAATTCCTTGGTCATTGACCCAAGTATTATCTTGGGTACTGCAGAGTGGGCATATGTCAAGTCCTGTTTAAAATCAGCATGTGCACAAAACTGATCAGCAGGAGTAAGAGTGAAGATCTTTCAAATTCCCTGTTAGACAGCCGTACTAACTTCTGTCTTTTAATCAACGGCTGCAGAGATCAAGGTTTCCAAAATCTTAACTGACCATGGAAAAGTCCCTCTAAATCGGAAGCAGCTTGGATTCTGTGCATCTCCACTCCTCCAGAGTCTGTGATCGATTTTCAAGAGAAATGCAGAATTTACTTATTCAGAAAAAAAAGGACCTCTAAGTTCAGGTTAAAAAATGTGACAGCCTAAGGCAATGTCCTCAATATATGATTTGGAGACACATACGTTTCAATTTAAATTGATATCTTTTCAGCAGTTTTCTCTGTTTTCTCCTGAGTTTTTCCTTCCACTGAACTTTGCCTGAAAACAACTCTCTTCAAGAAGTGATTTGATGTTAGTGCTAATTTATGATGAGCATTATTAAACATGATTGTGCCATGTATACATGTACTGTATATATATATATATATATATATATATATATATATATATATATATATATATATATATATATATATATAAAAATTCAATTAAATTCTGTCATGATCTGGCCTGTTTGCTCTCCCTTAATTGGCTATTTCTTTCACCTGTTGTTTTCCCTCCCAGCTTCAATTATCATTTATTACCCTCACCTGTTTCCTTTGGGCTATATTCTGTTCAGGCTGAGCATTTGGGGCCAGATCATTATTTGTTTTTCTGTTAGCCTGTCTGTTATGTTGATGCCAAGCTTGTCCTGGAACCTGACGACCAGTGGAAGGAGGGTTTTGTGTCTGTCTCGTCTCCTGATCGTCCACTGTTCCTCCTCTGCTGAGCCCTCTGGGTTTTTGGCTCTGTACGCGGGGAGGTTCAGTTTTTATCAAAGTAAGCCTGGCTCCAAGTTGGAGACCAGTTTAAAGGTCCTGCATTCAGTTCTGGTTCCACCTCCTGTCTCGGCTACCCTCTTCCACTGAGCCTCCCCGTCTGCACCTGATCCTGTCTGCTCCTGTATGTGAACGCCTGGTCACACTTCGGACTCTGCTGGACTCTGAACCTGCCTGGGAGCTCTACAAGGCCTGGATCCTGCTTGTTCTGTTGTTCCTGTCTGTTCTGGATCCCTGACCAGGATCGGCTTCCTGCAAGACCTCTGGGACTGCAGCACTGGGGACATTCTTGGACTGGACTGTTAAACCAGGTAAGTCACTAACTCAGATAATCATCTTCTGTCAGATGATCGTGGTCACTTACCTGTGTTTCTCCCACTAAGAGTGTCTGAGATTGGGCAATGCCCCACCCCCCGCCTGCAGTTGCCGTGTGCCACAGATCCTAGCAGCTCCCCTTTTAGTTTTGTTCATTAAATAAATGTTTTAAACATGCCCAATGACTGTCTCTCCTTGAATACTGGGTCCTTTTGTCCTTGCTTCTTGACAAATTCAGTTTATTTATATAGCGCCAATTCACAACACGTCACCTCTAGGCACTTTACAGTTCATCAGCTCATACAGTCAAATTGATTAAAAGTTTTCTATCTAAGAAAAACAGTTGATGCATCGACTCATTGACTCGAATGCAATCCCTCACACTAAGCATGCTTGTAGCGACAGTGGAGAGGAAAAACTCCCTTTTAACCCCAAACCTTCAGCAGAACCAGGCTCAGTGTGAGCGGCCATCTGCCGAGGTCGACTGGGGTTTACGGAGACAGAAGCGGAGATGCAAAACGCAGCTGTAAAAGGCGCCCCGTCCAGGAAACACACAGCCAGGCAGACGAGCTCCGAGCCAGGATGGTGTCACAGACAAACTGGAACAGAGGAGGTGAAGCTACAATGAGAAAAAGAGAGAGCAAAACGTTAGAGATTGAACAGATTCTGCAGAGTGTTAGAATAGAGATAGAATGATGAAATGGGGGTCCCTATGTCCTCCAGAAGTCTAAGCCTATAGCAGCATAACTATAGAGATAGCTCAGGATAACCTGAGCCACTCTAACTATAAGCTTTATATACATATGTATATAGTTTCTGGTTTGGACAACTTTATTTGGTCCTTATCTCTCGTTTTTTTTTTTTTGTCCACTAATATTGTCTCCCTTTTCTCTATTCATCAGTCCATAGAGGGAGCCATGCTTTAGGGAACTCTTGTCGACGCCCCCCTTCTCCTCCCCTCCAGTATGCCTCACTGTACTCAAACAGCGCGTTCATCCCAGGCTTGTTCTCCATCTACCCTCCACTGCTCAGTTTGCACAGTAGCGGCCAGGCTGCTGAGCGCAACACACGTCCAGATCCGCAGCAACATAAGCGCAAGAAGGTTTCTGCCGCAAAGCCAGGGAAGTTAGAAGATCGCAGGTAAACACAGGTAGGATGTCAGAGCTCCATGCGTAGAGCTTTCTACTTTATGAACAATGAAGGCAGTTCTGGGGCAGCTGCTGTTCGGATGCAATTAAAATGGAACACGATTTTTATTCATGTTTCGGGCATTGTGATTTTTATTTTAAAAGATGCAATAAAACGAGCGTTGTGATTAGTCTATTATGCAATAATTAAAGGATACATTTTGCACATGTTTTAAATCTTACCTAACATTGACTCCAGATATTATGATCTTGGCATTTATTGGCACACAAAGTTTTACGCACAAAGTTTACGCGTTTAAACCCAAAACCCTCTTTGCTGAAAAAAAGAAAGAAAAACAACAAAAACACTTGACTGAGCTAAGATCGCACATTTCAGGTGGACCCCTGCCAACATAAACACCGCAGCACCACCAGCAGCAGCAGCAGGAGATGTTGAGACTCGTTAAGCAATGCCATCAAGTGATGTAATAACCGGTATTAAAACGTGTAGGCTTGTTGAGCAGAAAATGATCCACTGTGTCTCTGTGTGTTTTGTTGCAGCACCTTTCCTCTGAACCTGGGTCGAAATGTTGGGGTTCTGCGTGTGTCTGTGTGCGGTTTTAACGCAGGTTCTGTCTCAGGAGCCTGAGGAGCCCGTTACAGTCTCAGTGAGTCAGTCTGGGTTTAGCACAGCCTGCTGTTTTACTATTTTCATTTTTTTTTATCTGCACAATATATATATATATATATATATATATATATATATATATATATATATATATATATATATATATATATATATATATACACATTATTCCTAATACATGTTTTCACAGTGCACAGAAGGCTACACATATGACACAGTAAGAGAGCAGTGCAGAGGTAAGAAATGACAGTGTTGTCTTATTTCTGTAGCTTTTCATAAAAGCTGAATGTGTTTATTTATGTTTGTCAGACATCGATGAGTGCAAACTTCTAGAAGATGCATGCAAAGGAGGGATGCAATGTGTCAACCACTATGGTGGGTATCTCTGCCTTCCTAAGAGTGCCATCATCTACGTTACCAATGAGGTGGACCCACCTCCACCGCCCGAGCAGGTCCCCCAGGTTCCTGTTGTCCCACCAAACCAGCCTCATCACAACCGGCATCTGGTTGGCTCTATTGGCACTCAGGTCAGCCAGACCATTCGGTGTTCTTCAGGCTTCAGTGCTGATGACCAGAACATCTGCAGAGGTACTTTAAGCAGCACATGTGTTTCTTTAAATGAAGATGATAGTATATTAGATCTTTTCTTTTCTGGGGTGGTAAAGTTTGTCTTCCTGAATCTTGATATAAAAAAGTCTGCTTTCTAAATATATTCTCTAATCTTTAAAGAAAAGGGTTTAATTTCTTAGAGAGATAATACTTAACAACTCATTTCAATATTTTTAGTCAAAAAAAAATGCTTTCCAAAGAGTTCATGACTACTAGCGCAGCACACCTCATGATTCAATACTTAAAGTACAAATTTTCTAAATACAATTTTCAGCTTCTTAGTGACATACATTGATTGTTTTTCTCTCAGAGGATAATTCACATCAGTTGTAGGGATCCAGCAAGAAAATGGATTTTAATTTGAGCTTTTTTGGTGAACTGAACGAGACCTACAAATTAGCCTCTCAAAAGTCTTTAACCTTTTCCAATCAGTGAATGCACCATGTCAAAGCTCTAACAAGAGCTATTCTTTAGCTGATGCTGAAAGTATCTTCGTTTCTGGCCATTCTGACCTGTGGCAGTTATACATTTTTGGGGCTACAGCTAGAAAAATATATTAAATCACTGCCATCATCGCAGTAAAGGACTTTGAATCAATATTTTGTAGGATATTGTATTTAAAACTAGCCACTATTCATGCAAACCCTGCATATCGGTAAATATTTTATCATTTACCTAAAAAAATAAAAATAAAGCAAATAACAGGATAAGGTCTCATTGTAATTGAAATTATGTCTGCACAGGTTGGACATTATTGCTATATTTATTAAATTTTAGACCGTTTCTGTTTTAAAAAAAATTGTATTCCTGGCTGATTCCCTTCAAAGCTGCAGACAGTACAGATGGAAAACAAATGGCTAATTATCTTACAGTGAGTCTGAGAAATAAAGAAAAGTAGATTTTGTCTGAAATACATGTCTACATTCTAGTTCTTTCATTTTTCTGCTGACATAGCTAATATAAACCAAAAATGTAAAAATAACTGTTTTGCCATAGCTTCTTGATGGTTCAAAGTATGGGGATAAATTTAAGGCAATTCACTGTTTTTAAGGAAAGTGAAAGAAATGTTCCCAAACTTAATGATAACCTTTTTACCAAAATAATGGGGATTCCTATTTTTCCATCATCTACCAACTCTAACCTAGATCACAATTTTTTAGTAATACATAAGAATTTTGTGTTTTCCTGATATTCTACAGCCTGATTTGCTTTTAAAATTGTCCGACAACCTGTCAGAGGATAGCGTCAGGCTCTGGTGGAGTAAGAGCTGGTTGGCAGGTAAAAAACAGGGTCCCTTGTGATGCCTATTCTTGACAACATCATAACATCATCTGGTTTGCTTATTCTTTTATTGAGGAAGCTGCACTTTCTGATGACCATTTATTTTAGCTCTTTGAATTTTTACTTCCTCAAATCCCTTTAAGGTATAAACTACTACCACTTTATTTCTTTTTTTCTAAAACCACTGACAGTCAATTAAAGGTTTGCTCTCCCTTTGACTATAGATACTTGACAAATGCTTGCTAACTACTTTAGAGACTCCACAAACCACGCTCCAAAGGTGAACCGTTTATCCGTCTGTTTGACAACCATCAGCAGCTCAAATATGTGCAGCTGCCAGATATGTTGCAAGCTTCTTGCTCCTTCACCCTGTGACGTCATGTTCTCTAAACTCTTTGCTTGCCCGCAGGTTGATGTTTTTGGCTACGGTTCAACTTCTGTCTAAAATTTCTCTTGTTTTGAGTGTTGAAGCGGATCTTGCACTGCTTTAGGGGGTGGAGAAAAAAATCAAGCAGATGATTTTGCAATATTACAGGAAAGCTCTATGCTTATGGGCAGCCTTTACATCTACAGCAAGGGCCTTGGCGAGGTTGAGGTGCACAGCGGAGGCGTGGGTGTGATCATGTGTTTGAGCAAGACACTTTGATCCTCTGAAATGGGGAGTGGTAGAAAGATTTCTTTGTCTTACTTACCCAACAACTCACACACACTTTAGAATAGAACAAGAGGGAATCTCTGTCACCCTTCATGATATGTGTGGGGTAGATCTATTAATGCAATATAACGTACACTGTACATGTGCCCCTTAGTGAGGTGGTGAGGGGTTTCTCTTGTTTACAGGCAGAGGTGTGTGGGTGAGTTGCAGAAGGGTGGAATTTGTGGTCACACAGCTTTAATGAAAGGAGCAAATTTGATTTTACACCTCGAGCGACGAAGCGTGTGAGTTGCTTTATGTGTTTCTCTGAATTGGAACCCCAATTAGTTTTACTGGAGTGTAAAACATGGCAGCATCTCTGTTAAACAGTTAAATATGTAAGCTGGGGGTGCTACAATCACTGGTGAGCTGTTGCAGTGCTTGTGCTAAACAAAGATGGACAGTCCCTGTCGGTCTTACTGCTTTCAAATTGCTGCAGCTTGAATTGGATGGTGTCTCTCGCTCTTATGTGGGCTTATATTTGTGCTGGAGGCTGACATAATCTTTGTTTACATCAGTCTCTGGTTTCTCTATCATTACCTTCAGCTCGCTACAATCAGCCAATTGTTCTTGGACAGGTCATTATCGTCTTTTTGTTTTTGTTTTTGTTCTGCACAGCTACGCATCTTGCAAGCGAAGGAATTCCCATTAACGTTCAATAGAGGGGGAAACCTCAGTGTATCAAATAGCGCTTACATCGGGCTCCTTCTCTGCTAACTCACCACTCTGTGGAGGAAACCTGGAGTGCAGAGTCAGGTAGGGCAAAGGGGAAAATGAAAGGCCAACACTCAGTGTTCAACCACAGGGAGAAGTGACCGAGCCAAGCTGCTCCAGCTTTGTAGGTTGTCCAGCTGCTAGGTTTGTGGCAAGCTGTTGAAAGATCAGCTAAATCTGAGGTACAGGTTTTCCATTGAACAAGCTAAATTGTTATAAAAATAAAGTATCTGAAAACAAACGTCCCCTTTATTTTCAAGCTGATTAGAAGCAAAACAAAAAGCACTCTACAGCTTCATGATGTTCTTTTGATTAATGCATCAATTTGCCTTTACATGTGTGCAGCTCTTTTAGAAACCCTTTTGGTTGAACATAAACAGGAGTGTGTTGTTATAGGGACACATGCAGGAAGCTGGCACAGGACTGTGGCCACACAGAGACACCGACAGGCTTTGCTGCGTGTGTGACTAACTAATGGTGCCTCCTTCCATCCAGTCGCATGCTGCGGCTGAGACCGCTCAATGCTCACAAGTGGTTTGCTGTGTGCAGAGGTGAGATCACTCGTCCTGGAAAGGAAGGTTGTACATCATACGTGCTGCGTCAATCATCAAATGCTTAGGAAAGCGAAAGGCCCGTACGGTAATCACAGCTATTCCAAAGTTACTATCCTGGCAGTTCAGTAATAGTGTAAATCATTCAGCTTTTCTTTATACACAGAAAGAAAGCATTTTGAACAGTCATAGTAAAAAAAAAAGGATATCTGACACAAATCGGTGAATTTTAATGCCCAGTATCTTTGTGATGAACCTTTTTTTAAAATGTAAAATAAATCGAATCGTGCATGATAAGAAGTTTCATAAAAAAACTTAAAGATTCATTACACTCTGAAAAGAAAATCCAGCTCCAACTTGAATTAATTGCTTTAACTGGTAACAAGTAATTGAATTTTTGGTCCATCCTAAATTATTATATTTTAGAGCGGCTTTTTTCAACCTTTTTTGTCCATTTGGGTATTTTTACTAACCATAATTACCCCTTTCAGTCAAAAGTATTTATGATTGTCCAAAAGTGGAAAGTACTGTAACTGATTATAAAAGGAAAACAATTTTACTGAATCTTTTAATTTAAGCATTTAATTCTTAGGCATTTTATGCTTTCCATTTTAGATAAAAAAAAAAAATATAAATATGTTGCCTGGAAGGTAGTAAGGAATCGAAATAAATACAAAATAAAATCATATTATAAACCTGTATTTCTAAAACTGAGTAACTCCCTTATAATCACATTTAAACTTGATGAACTCAAAACAAAATATAGAATACAAAATATAAAGTACCACATTAGCTATTATGAAGTTTGCCATAAAGAAAAATCCCTACCACCTTTAGTGTGTTTTATTCTTTTTCTCTGTGAAAGATCAACAAAATATACTGCATAACACAATCTGAATCATTTCTTTTTTTCCAGTAAAGATATGAAAAGGGATCCCTGCATTTCTACTCTGAACCATTGAAATAACATTAAGTGTAACCATCCACCTTCAAAAGTCCCTTGTCAAACATATTGTCAGCTCTGAAAGACTCAGGGAGAAGATTAGTGAACAAACAGCTTCATAAAAATCAATGAACACATTGGTCACTTCAGGGATAAAGTTATGGAGAGATTTAAATCTCTCTCTCCATAAAGTTATAAAACAATATGATAAGCTTTGAACAACTCATAGAGCACGCCTCAGTTTATCATCTGAAAATGGAAAGAGAATAACACAACTGAAAACCTCCCAAGTGGTCATACATCTAAACTTACCAGCAAGGCATGGAGAGCAATAATCAGGAATGCAGCCAAGAGGCCCATCGTAATTCTAGAGAAGTTGCAGAAACCTGTACCTCTGGTGGATAAAAGTTCAAGGCGTATTAATAGTTTCGCAACACAGCGCTATATTATGTGTGCAGAAAAAAGACAACAATATATACATATCTTTCTCTTTGTGCAAAAAAATATAGCTATAGTTCCACTACATGTTAAGATATTTTATTGTGTTCTTTAAGATAAAAGTGTAAAACCAAACTAAACCTATAGTGACAACAGATGATAAAATTGTAACTAAAACTAAACCAAAGCCTATTTAGATTAAATTAAATTGCCAAAATATACCCTGAAACCATAATATTAGCTATTAAAACATACATCCAAAATGAGAAAATAAGATAAATGATAAGATCTTGAGCCTCAGGAGGCCATGCCTGCTTCATTTCTCAACTTTTCTTTCTCTTCAGTGTTTTATTCAGTA